GGGGGGGGGGGGGGAGAGAAAGAAAGAAAGAGAAAAAGAGAAAACCCAAGACCAATATTCCTTATGAACACTGATGCTAAAGTCCTCAACAAAATACCACCAAACTGAATTCAAAGCATATTAAAAGGATTATACACTATAAACAAGTGGACTTTATTCCTGGAATACAAAGATAGTTCAACATATGAAAATCAATTAACGTAATGTACCACATTAAGAGAATGAAGAAAAAAACATATGATTATCTCAATTGATGCAGAAAAAGCATTGAACAAAATCCAACACTCTTTCATAATAAACACATTCAGAAAATGAAAAATACAGGCATCTTCTTCAACATAGTAAAGGCCATATGTGAAAACCCACAGCAAATGTCAAACTCAATGGTGAAAGACTGAAAGTGCTTTCTCCAAGATCAGGAACAAGTCAAGAATGCCCATTTTCACTGCTTATTTTCAACATAGTATTTGAAGTTTTAGAGCAATTAGGAAAGAAGAAGGAAGTAAAGACATCCAAATTGGAAAGAAAGAAATAAAATTATCTCCATTTGTATATTACATGATTTTATATTCAGAAAACTCTGAAGATTCTACTTTTAAAAACTGTTAGAACTAATCAACAAATTCAGCAAAGTTGCAGGACAAATCAACAAACAAAAATCAATGCATCACTACACATTAACAATGAGCAATCTAAAAAGAAAATTCAAAAAGTAGTTCCATTTACCATGACATAAAAAAAATACAACACTTAGAAATTCACATCACCAAAAAAGTGAGAGTTGCACACTGAAAACTACAAAATATTTCTGAAAGAAACGAAAGCAGACATAAATAAATGGAAAGACATGCTGTGTTCATGGATGGGAAGACAATATTGTTAAGACAACAATACTACCAAAGCAATCTTGATTCAGTGAAATCCCTATCATAATCCACTGGCATTTTTTGAAGAAATAGAAAACTTCATCCTAAAATTTATATGGACTCTCAAAGGAACCCAAATAGCCAAAAAAGTCTTGACAAAGAAGAAAAAAGTTGGAAGATTCACACTTCCTGATTTCAAATTTTACCACAAGGTTACAGTAATCAAAACAGTGTGGAATCTGACATAAGGGCTGACACATGAACCAATGGGACAGAATGGACAGCTCCAAAATAAACCCTCACATATGTGGTCAGATATATATTTTTTGAGTCAGGTTCTCACTCTCTCGCCCAGGCTGGAGTGCAGTGGCATGATCATGGCTTAAGGCAACCTCAAAATCCTGGGCTCAAGCCTCCTGAGTAGCTGGGACTACAGCCACACACCACCATGCCTGACTAATTTTTTTATTTTTCTTTTGTAAAGACGAGATCTCACTATATTGCCTAAGCTGTACGTGAACTGCTGGACTCAAGCAGTACTCCTACCTTGGCCTCCCAAAGTGCTGAGAGTACAGGCATGAGCCATCACACCTGACTAATGGTCAAATAATCTTTGACAAAGATGCCAAAACCATTCAGTGTGGGAAAGGACAGACTTTTCAACAAATGGTGCTAAGAAAACTGGATATCCACATGCGGAAGAATAAAATTGGAGCCTAGCCTAATACTGAATACAAAAATTAACTCAAAATAGATCATAGACCTAAATGTAAGACTGAAAGCTATAAATCTCTTAGAAGAAATGTAGAAGAAGACATAACATTGGATTTGGCAGTGATTTATTGAATATGACCCAAAGGCATAGGTAACAAAAGAAAAAATAAACAAAGTGAACCTTATGAATATTTAAACATCTCTTTCCATAAAAGGGCACTAGCAACAAAGTTAAAAGACAACCTACAGAAAAGTAGAAAATATTTGCAAACTACATATCTGATAAGGGATTGTTATCTAGACTATAGAAAAAACTCTTAAAACAACAACAAAAATACAAATAATCTGATTTAAAAATGAGCAAAGGACTTTATAAATAGACATGTCCCCAAAAAAGATATATAAATGACCAATCAGCACATGAAAAGCTGTTCAACATCACTAATCATTAGAGAAATGCAGATCCAAACCACAATGAAATACCACTTCACACCCACTGGGATGACTACTGGTCATAAAACCAGAAAATATCAAGTATTGGTGAGGATATGAAGAAATTGAAACCCTGCGCACTGCTGGTGGGAATTTAAAGTAGTGGAGCTATTGTGAAAAACAGTATAAAGTAACCTTTAAATTTTTTAAATAGAATGACCATGTGGTATAGCAATTCCACTTCTGGGTATATACACAAAGAATTGAAAGCAGGGACTCAAACATTTATGCTCATAGCAGCATTATTCACAATAGCCAAAAGGTGGAAGCAACTGGCATGTCCAACAGCAGATGAATAAGTAAATAAAATGTAGTATATATGTATAATAGAATATTATTCAATCTTAAAAAGGAAAAAAAATGGCTGGACTTGGTGGCTCAGCCTGTAATCCCAGCACTCTGGGAGGCTGAGGCAAGTGGATTGCCTGAGCTCACGGGTTTGAGACCAGCCTAGGCAACTTGGTGAAACCTCACCTCTACAATAGATAAAAAATTAGCCGGGCACAATAGCACGCGCCTGTAATTCTGGCTCCTTGGAAGGCTGAGGCAAAAGGATCGCCAGAGCCCAGCAGGTCAATGCTGGGGTGGCCATGAGTATGCCATTGCACTCCAGCCAGGGCGACAGAGTGACTCCAGTGCAAAAAAAAAAAAAAGGAAAAAATTCTGACACATGTTATGATATGGATGAATCTTGAAGACATCATCCTATGTGAAATAAGCCAGTCACAAAAGGAGAAATATTGTATGACTATACTTATATGAGGTGCCTAGAATGGTCAAATCCATAGAAACAAAGTCAAATGATGGCCATCAGGAGCTAGGGGAGAGGAAAATGTGAGTCACTGTTTATTGGATATAATTTCAATTTTGCAAAAAGGAAAGAGTTATGGAGATAGATGATGGTGGCTAAATAATATAAATATACTTAACACTGAATTATACACTTAAAATTAGCCAAGATGATAAATTTTATATTTTGTGTATTTTATCACAATAAGAAATTTTTTTTTCAGTTGGAATCTCACTCCATCGCCCAGGCTGGAATGCAGTGGTACACTCACGGCCACCCCAGCATCGACCTGCTGGGCTCTCCTGATCCTTCTGCCTCAGCCTTCCAAGTAGCCGGAACTACAGGCACGCGCCACCACACTCAGCTACTACTTTTTTATTTATTGTAGAGATGAGGTCTCGTCAAGTTGCCCGGGCTGGTCTTGAACCCGGGAACTCAGGCAATCCACTCGCCTCGGCCTCCCAAAGTGCTGGGATGACAGACTGAGCCACCGAGCCCGGCCCACAATAAAAATTTTTTTAATAATAAATTTTTTTAAAAATCAGTAAGAAACAAACAAATGTCCCTAACAGAAAAGTAAACAAAAGACATTAGCATAAAATCACAGTGCCTTACACCTGTAATGCCAACAGTTTGGGAGGTCAAGGTGAGAGGATTGCTTGAGCCCAGGATTCAAGACCAGCCTGGGCAACATAGTGACATCTCATCTCTACAAAAACAAAAAAGTCAGTCAGGTGTGGTGGCACATGCCTATAGTCCTAGCTACTCAGGAGGCTGAGGTGAAAGAATGCCTGAGCCCAAAAGGTAGAGGCTGCAATAAGCCGTGATCATGCTACTGCCCTCCAGCCTGAGTGACAGAGTGAGACTCCCAACTTAAAAAAACAAATGCAGCAGGGTCTCACAATTCATCACCTCCTTCTTTCTGGCTCTCTAGGCACTGGGGACCCTCTTCCCTTCAACCCTGTGATGTAGCCCCAGGGCTTCGTAGGTGGCAGATTCATTCTGTGATCTTTGCTGTCTTTTCTGACTGCTTTCCATCCAAATGAACACTCAAAGGTGAGGTCCTGAGATGCCCACCCTTCTCCTTCATCATCTAGCTCCCAGGACCTCCGGTCAGCACCACCTAAGACTTCTACCCCAGGTACACCCCGCTCAGCCCTGCTGCTGGCTGTGGGCCTGGCTGCTCCCTCTGGAACTCCTGCCGGTGCCCAGACCTTCACCCAAATCTCCATCACATTCCCCAGATCGGTCCTAGACATCAAGCCCAAATGATGCCCTCCTTCTCCCCAGAGCCTGGCCACACAGTCTGGCCATGTGTTTCAGACTTGTGTTGTTAGCTTTGCTTCCTCATGGTCACCAGTCCATGGCCACCTCTGGTGCACACCTAGATAAGCAGTCATCCTCGGCCTTGGCTGACGCATCATGCCTGTCCACCATGCACACTGACTGGCCCTGACCTGGTGATCAGCACCCTTCCCCACTGCACCCCCAATCTCTAGCTAGACTCCTGCCCCACCCCATGGTCATTCCCACATCCGGCTCACCCCAGCCTCCCACAGGTCAATCTGTCACCATCTTCCTCTGGAAATTCTATGCAACCTTAGAGGTCTCCTCCAAACATGCGGTTTTCCTTCCACTGAGCCTCTGCCTTCTCCTAGAGGATTCTCAGTGCTGAGCACAGAGCAGGCATTCAGCAAGTTGTCCGTCGTTGTCTGTGGCCAGTCACCTCATGTGGACAGCCCTCCAGACACCTGGGGTATCTATCTTACAGTGGCCAGGGGCTGGCCTTGGGCTTTTCATGCACAGATGTGGTTTTTCTCCCCAGGTCCACTGAGGGCACCTGCAAGGTGCTGAGCCAGCCAAGCCTCTGGCTCGTGTGGCCCCCACCTGCTGGGTGCTGCTGCCCCTCCCAGAATCCCAGGGCATCGAGGGGTGGGAAGGGCTTGGGCTCACCTTGGGCAGTGCCAGCTCCTGGTCCAGGCCCACGCTGATTTGGCACATAAGATAGAGACTGGCTCCAAACAGGGCCAGAAACAGCAGTATCTAAGGAGAGAAAGGCTGCATGAGACCTCTCTGCCCAACAGCCCCTCCATCGTCCCCCAGATTTGAGTCAGTTGGGATGTCATGGGAAACATTCTGGAGTTGGGCAGACTTTCATCCAGCCCTGAGCCTCAGCACCTGGACCTGGGCACCCTTTCCACCCCTCAACTCAGCTCTCTGTGAGGCAAGGTGCCCGTCTAGTCCCCACCTTCACATGACTCAAAGTCCACTCACCACAACCCCTCGGGTGAACCAGTGCAGCAGAAGCGGGGCGTAGATCTTGCGGAAGAAGCCAAGCAAGAGTCCCTTGCTCTGGCCTGGCGGGGGCAGTTCCCGGGGCTGGACGCAGCAGCAGATGTCCAGTCGGGAGGCCTGGAGGTGGGGAAGCAACCCCTCAAGGTGGCCACAAAGCAGACCCCAGGAACTACCTCCCTCCCTTGAGGAGTGCCAGCCACCTTCCGTGAGTGGCCCGTGCCAGTACCACTCGTGGGGACATGTGTGCCAGTATGCTGTTTGCCTTTTGTTTTCTATCTTGATGAAATATATTTGATTTTTACACCATCACCAACAGCTCGACTCCTGTCAACCTCTCATTTATTGTTCACCCGTGAACAATACAGGTTGCAACTGAGCAGGTCCATTTATACGTGGATTTCCTTCCACCTCTGCCACCCCCTCCTCGTCATTTTCCTCCTCCTCAGCTTACTCAACTCAAAGACGACGAAGATGGAGACCTTTGTGATGATCTACTTCCACTTAATGAAGAATAAATAAGGTTGGGCTCAGTGGCTCATCCCTGTAATCCCAGCACCTTGGGAGGGTGAGTCAGGAGGATTGCTTGAGCCCAGGAGTTTGAGACCAGCCTAAGCCATACACCAAGACCTCATCTCTAAAAAAAAAATCAAAAAATTAGCCGGGCATGATGGTATGTGGTTGCACTCGGCTAAAAAAAGGAAAAAAGAAAATCATAAGGAAAAGAAAATACATTTACTCTTTTTTTTTTTTTTGAGTTGGGGGGTTCTCACTCCATCGCCCAGGCTGGAATGCAGTGGCACAATCATGGTTCACCACAGCCTTGAACTCCTGGGCTCATGCCATCCTCCCACCTCTGTAGCTGGGACTACAGGCACAAGTCACCATGTCCAGCTACTTTTAAAAATTTTTTGTGGAGACGGGGTCTGGCTATGTTGCTCAGGCTTGTTTTGAATTCCTGGGCTCAAGTTATCCTCCCACCATGGCCTCCTAAAGTGCTGGGATTACAGGCATGAGCCTCTGCACCCAGCCCACTTATGATTTTCATAATAACATTTTCTCTTATCTAGCTTGCCTTACTTATCAGAGTACAGCATATAATCCACATATACAATGTATGTTTATCAACTATTTATGTTGTCATAAGGCTTCCAGTAGTCTATTTTAAGTTAAGTTTTGGGAGAATCAAAGTTATATGTGAATTTTCAGCTGTGTGGAGGGTTAGCACCTCAACCTCTGTATTGTTCAAGGGTCAACTGTATTTTATTTCACAACCTCATGTCCCTTAGGAGGTTTGATCATATTTCCAAAACGTGCCTAAATAAAGTTATTTTCCATGGGAAATTAGGGAATATGTGGCCCAAATATTCCTCTCCCAGCACAAAGCCCCTGCCCCACACCCCTCTCTCTGGGCCATCTCTGTGGCAGTGAGGCCACTCCATCTCCCAGCCAGGGTCCTTCGATCCCGGCCCAACTGCTCCTACCTCCTGCCTCTTACTGTCCAGGGAGAGCAAGGCCACAAAGGCTGACATCTGCAGCAGGAAGTCAAAGATCACCGCAAGGCCAGAGGTCAGGGCAAAGGTCCGCACAGCTGGCATGGGAGTCAAGGCCCCTGTTGCGGGGCAGAAGCTATCAGGGCACTCTGGCTTCAGGAACAGGGTGGGAGCCTACAGACACAGGGTGTAGAGGGAGAGGGGTCCGCCCCATGCCCACAGCCCTCTGAGAACTCCCGGGCTCCTGCACTAACCCAGCTGGCCCAGAGCAGGGAGGGTCTGCCCCAGACTTACCTAGGAAGAAGCAGATGGCCTCAGAGAGGCTGCATAGCAACATGCTGGGGGCCACCTTGCCCAGGGCTCGGCCAATGTGGACCTCCCGCGTCTCCCCGGGTCTCCGGGGCAGCCTCTGTGTGGGAACACCAGGGATAGGGATCAGAGCCCTCCGAGGGCACCACGCCTTGAAGGCCAGCAGGGAGCTGGCAAGTGTCCAGAGACTCCGCCAGGCCTGAGGAGTTGCTCTGACCTTTCTGAATCAAGAACAAACCCTACCACTCTCCATGGCCACACTTTCTGTTCCCAGGGTCTGGCCCGGAGACATGCTTACTGCATGTGGGATGTCTAGAGCATCTGTGTTCTAAGCATCCTTGGAACTCCAAATGTCCACCAGCATGGAGAGGTTAAAACTACTCTGACTTGTCCTTATCATGGACTGCTATGTAGCAGCAAGATGGGAGGTGACTCTAATGTACTAATATAGAAAGCATTTACCAAAAGTTGTATGGGGTTAACAAAAAGTAAGTTCCAGAATGACACAGATGGGATGAGCTCACTGATGCCAACACACTCTATTTGCTACAGGTGTTGTAAACATGAATGTCAATACACACAAAGAGTCTTCAAGAAGACCCAGCAAATTGATGCCAAAATTCCCTCTGGCTAGGAGGCTAGGGCTGGGAGTAGAAGGGGCAGTTGGCAGCATGGAGAACGCCTCCCTTCTTACCTGGTACTCAAGAACAAAGATGAAGATGTTGTCAGCCCCCACAGCCAGCACCAGGAAAGGAACCACTTGGAGGATGACCAGGGAGGAGCGAATACGCAGGTAGGAGAAGAAGCCCATGGCAGCCATGACTGCTCCCAGGACCACGGCCACCCCGCCCAGGCCCAGCGTGGCTTTGGAATCCACCTGCAATTCAACCAGACTCAGCCCCCTAGCCACCACGGCACCTGCCCAATATGCTCCCCAGCCCAGGCTGGGGGTGGGGGTCACACAGGCAGCAGGCAAGCACCCTCGGTGCCCACATGTGCTCGGCACTTCCCCCGGTGGTGTCATGCCGAAGCTCTTCTGCAATCATCCTCCCAAGGGCAGGTCCGTGGCACCCAGAGGCACACAGGTGAGCCTGCCCCATCTTCCCTGAGCAAGGCATTTTAAGTATTAGCTTTATATTTGGACAGGTGGAGGTACGTTAGGTAACAGAAAGAAAACTGCTTTTGACCTTCCAACACAGAACACTTCCAAGAAATATCACCCTTCCAGGGAGCCTCTGTGGGTGTGTCCACTTTGCTGCTTTGAGGTACTCTGGTTAGGAAAGTTTTAGAAGACCCTGCTGGAGATGTCTGGAGCCCTGGGCCTGCCCAGCTCACTGTGTCCCTCCCACTTCTTACCACCAGTCGTCTCCAGCTGGAGTAGCTGCCCAGGGCCACGGAGATATACAGGAAGATGACCACATAGCTGACAGCAAAGATGGGCAGGTCCTCAGCTGTGGTGCGGTTGATCTCGTCCTCCAGAGACCGCTGTGAACACACACGTGACCAGCCCCACTGACCATGCCTACTCCAGCCAAGCCAGCTCTCAAGAGTTCAGTCACTGGGCACTCACCATGTGTTGAGTCACAGTGTCCAGTAGCCCGCCATAAGCCCCAGTGAGGCTACAAGAACAGTAATCACAATCTCTCCATTCTGAGTGTGCGTTCCCTACCCAGGGTCACTCAGGAAGGGCCAAGGCCAGAGGAGGTACACAGGAACTGACCTCAGAGACTACCTGGATTGCACTTTTAGAGCTGGGAACCCCATAGCCCCTACCTCGGCCATGAACGTGACCCGGAACATGCCAGCCGTCCGACGTTGGAAGGCTCGCATCTCCTCCAAGAAGGCTCCCTCCCAGAGTTTGGCCTGGGCCAGACGGGGGTCCTCAGCAGGGTAATTGTTGAGGGAGAACGTCATGATCAGAGCCTCTGCCTCAGAATAGTCCTTCCCTAGGATAAGAAATGCTCAGCCCCCTCCAGCTGTCCCCTTTTCCCCCTCCCCCACTCCAGCTGCACCCCCGCCTCCCACTCCCACTCCTCCCCCACCATGGCCTTACCCCCTACATGCCACTTCTCTCAGTCAAAGGCAAGACCCTTGGGCCCAAGCACAAAGCCAGAGCACCTGAGCAGAGCTACGAGATGAGGAAGTGGTAGAGAGGAGGCAGGACAGGGTTGGCCTGCAGCTTCCTACACCAGGTCACCTGGGCTGCAGGAAGCTTCCCCATCACTCCCACCTTCCTGCCTATTATTCCTGCCCCAATATAGCATCTTGCTTAGCCTCCTGCCAGGGCCCACTCGGCTTACCTTTGTACCCACCCACAGCTAGGAAAGGGAAGACCGGGGCCCCATAGTCAGCCATACAGCTCAGGGCCAGGGCCGTGCCATCTTTGAAGGTGAGCGGGGCGCTGGAGGAAGACAATCACAAAAGAAAGAGGCCTTTTCTGGCCCTGCCCAGTCCTGATGGCCCCGCCCTATCCCCTCCACCTGCCTCAGGCCCACTGTACCGTGGAAGGTGAACTGGGAGCCACTGGCCACACATAACCAAACTCAGTGAGTCCTGAGTGACTTTCTTCCCATGAGAGTTCATGCGGGCCCCACCCACGGAGTGGGTTAGAGCTGACTTTGTGCCAGGCAGGGGTTGCTCTGAGCACTGTCTCTCTGTGCTTCTCATGTTCTCTCAAACCTACCCAACCTGCCCAGCTCTGTCGTTTTCTGACTCCTAATTGAAGACAGCAGATTGAGCATCACGCCATGGAGTCTGGCACAGGCTCTGAAACCCTGCTCTCTCAGCCACCTCCTCCTACCTGGGGATCCCAAAACCCTTCAGTTGAGTTCAGATTCAGGGCCCTGGAGCCCAGGAACCAATGTGCCCACAGTTGACCCTCCTGATGCCCTCAGACGAGTCTATATGCCCTTCAGTGTAACCCATTTTGAAAGCTCCTTGTTGCAGAGACTTGAGGGGATACCTGAACAAAGCTGTCTATACACTCTCGGCTCTGAATGAATAAGAGCATCAGTCACCAGCTGTTCCTGAGAGTGCTGGTGGCTATGTGGCCTTAAGCGGTTCACCACACCCCTCTGGGCCTGTTTTCCTACCTGTGAAATGGAGATCATCGAGCCACCCAAGAGTTAACACCCAAGAGCACCCAAAATTAAAAGAAAGGTCATGTACAAGGACTATAAACCTGCGCTCAGACATGAAGCTGGGCCAAGCCACCAATGCCTCCCCGGAGCAACCAACTGCCCCTCTCGGTCCTTCCATTTCTGAGGAACATCCCTTGGATGCATGCAGAGACATTCCGGGAAGTAGCCTAATCTTAGAGCTCAGCTGAGGGGTGCAGAGCCAAGAAGTGGGGCCAGAGAGCACGGCTCTTTTGTCTAACCCAGTAGTTCTCAAAGTGTAGCCTGGGGCCCTCAGGGGTCCTGGAGACCCTATCAAGGGTCTGCAAGATCAAAACTGTTTTCTTTTTCTTTTTTTCCTTTTTAAGATAGGGTCTTGCTCTGTTGCCCAGGCTGGAGTGCAGTGGTGTGGTTCCGGCTCACCACAGCCTTGGCCTCCTGGGGTCAAGGGATCCTTCCACCTTAGGATCTCCAGTAGCTGGAACTATAAGTGCATACCACCACACTCAGCTAATTTTTGTATTTTTTATAGACACGAAGTCTCACTACATTGCCCAGGCTGGTCTCGAATCCCTAGGCTCAAGTGGTTCTCCTGCCGTGGCCTCACTAAGTGCTGGGATCATAGGCATGAGCCACCACATTTGGCTCAAGCTGTTTTCATAATAACACTAAGATACTATTTGCCCTTTTAACTCCCACTTGCTCACGAAGCAGAGTACAGAAAATTCGTCTGCTCTGCTCCAACCTCACAGAACCTCCACTGCGCCGGCCCACCTGCTGCCCTGTGTTCTTGACCTCTCAGCCCTGTGGTCTCATTGGCATCTTATTTGCACCACGCCAGAACAGATGGAGCCAGGGACTGAACCCCAAACAATGTGAGGGTGTATGACTGTGGCCTGTCCTAGGACACCCAACCCTGGTGTCTGAGACTATCCACAGTTCCTGCCTGAGGGCACCTTTTTCCCTTCACGCCAGGGAACCTCATGGACTACCCATGGCCCTACAGGGCCCGGCACCAAAACAAGCAGAAAAACAAAGTAAACACAAACATGGCTAGGCCAATCAGATTCCTCCATGAGACTCGAACCAAGAGCATGCAGGATACTCTCACATGTCAGAAGTTCCTCAGAGTCAAGCAGGGTGGCTCACACCTGTAATCCCAACACTTTGGGAGGGAGAGGCAAGAGGACTGCCTGAGCCCAGGGGTTCGATACCAGCCTAGGCAACTTGGCCAGGCCTTGTCTCTACAATAAATCAAAAAATTAGCTAGACATGATGGTGTATGCCTGTGGTTCCAGATATTTGGAAGGCTAAGGTGGAAGGATCGCCTGAGCCCTGCAGGTCGAGGTTGAGGTGACCATGCGCATGCCACTGCACTCCAACCTGAGCAACAGAGTAAGATTCCGATTCCAAAAAAAAGAAGCTCCTTAGAAAGACCAAGTGAATATATAAAAACATCATCATATTCTCTGTAAACATGTGTCAATTAAATAAATAAAATGGCATAGAATTTGTATGTAATATGCACACATTCTTCTGTATACTTTAAATCATCTCTAGATTATTTATAATACCTAATACAATATAAATGCTATGTAAATAAATAGTCGTTATGCTGCAAAAAAGAAAAAGAAAGAAAGAAAGAAAGACCAAGTGAGTCGGAGCTAAACATGCAAAACTGCTGCAGGGGCAGGAGCTCTGGACAAGGGAGTGGGGCCGGAGAAGGGACAGAGACAATCAGGCACACCGCGGCCCCAGGACAGAGCCCTCGGAATAGCTGCCCCTGGTCCCTCAGGATGTCTGTATGCCTGGCCTGGTTCCCAGGAGGCCATGGCAGCCAACCCCCTGACCCGCTCCTCCACTGCACCTTGCCAAGGACTCACTTGGCACAGTAGAGAAAGTGGTCCCTCCAGTCGACCTGGGAGGTCTGCCCTGTCAGCGTCTGGTTGGCCGTGAGCAGCAGGCGTGTGCGGTTACTCTGGAAATACTGCAGAAGGCTATTGATGCAGCAGTCGGAGAGACTGGCATTGTCTGGACTGAGGGGGGCGTAACAGATGTCCTGCAGGGAAATGTTGCGCTGCGCCTCTGGCGACCACACCTGGAGGTGCCGCAGCCTCTCCTGCAGCTCCAGCAACTCCAGCAGCAGGTCCAGGGCCAGGATCCCGCTGAAGTTCTTGGACCCCAACAGCAGAGAGTCATACCTGTAGCTAGACCGGTTGGGAGCCGTCAGAATCACCTGGTTGGTTCGGAAGAAGGGGCCGAAGTGCTGATCATGGAAAGCCTTCTCTCTTCGGGCTTGGCTACTGGGGGCTGACCACAGCTCCACAGGATCCGTGGTAAGCTCCATGAAGACGAGGCCCGCTGCCAAGGACACCACCACAACACTGGACAGAACCAGGATGGTCAGAGGCCATGAGGCCACCCATGTGCCCCAGCCCTGGAAGAACTGACCAAGGAGGGTGTGACTGGAGAGGCTGATCCTGTCAGAGAGGCTGTCGCCTGCCATGGGATCCTTCCTCTTGCACTGGTCCTTGTCAGAGGCCTTGCGGAGGTACACAAGGAGGATGGTAAGCAAGACAAAGACAGAGCTGAGGATGATCACGAGGGCTATCCCTCCTGGCATCCGGCCCAGGTAGAAGGTAGGGTCTAGGGCCTCGGGCTGGGTTATGGCAGGGCAGGACGCAGCACAGTCCTGGCAGGAGCAGGCTACTGTACTGTTGCCTTGGGTCTCATTGCATGGTGCAATCTCCTTGTTCAAAGGCTGCATCCCGCCCCCTAGGGCCTGGTCAGGCTCTGAGAGGTGGAAGGTGATGTCCAGTGGAGCCAGGCCATTGCCCGTGTCTCCCTGGAAGTTGAGCCAGCGCTGGGCATTGCAAAGGGTGGAGCCGTACACGCCGCACATGGTGCCCACGGCCAGTGTGGCAGCCGCAGGGATGCGCACGCGGCTGCAGGATTCATAGGTCTGCTCGGCAAAGCTGCGCTGGTAGAAAGCCTCATAGGCCACCACGGCGGGGGACTGGCCTTCCTCTCTCTGGGCCACGCGGGTCACGTTGATGAACAGGCTCTGGTTGGGGCTGCAGGTGTTATGGCAGTGCAGATTCACGAAATTGTCAGAGCAGGCTGGGCAGCGGGTGAGGAGGGCCTTGGTGATAGACAGGCTCGCCTCCAGCGACACCAGCTGCTTGGCAGAGCAGCAGGCTTGGGTGCTGGGGCCATTGTAGAGCTTGGGGCAGATTCTTTGTAATAGGAGCAGGTGGCTGCCCATGATGTTGCGGGCTGGTGTGTTGGACAGGCAGGACACATTGGACAGCGATGTGAGGCCTCCGGACAGCTCTGGGTTCTTCCCACATTCGTCATAGAAGGCACAGTAGCCGGCCTGGTGGATAGGTGTGTACGGTTCGCTCTGGGTCTGTGGAGCAGAGTAATGTCATTCACAGGCCTTGGCACTGGTCAGTTCCACTGGATGCTCTCCGGGCAACAGGCGGCCAGGGAGGGCATGGGGTAGGAAGGACACAGAGCAGGGGTAGGGAAGGGATCCGTGGGAAGCCTCCTGGGGGCATGTGCTAGCTGGCCGGTGTGGGAGTGACGAGTGGATGGCGCAGCCAGGCCTTTCTTCCTGGGGGTGACTGGGTCGCCAAAGAGAAGGTGACCTAGTAAATACGTCTGCTGTTTAGGAAGGTCACGCTGGAGAGGACAGGGGACAGATGGGGAGGCAGAGGTGATGCCAAGGCACCTTGTGGGTGCTAGGCTCTGCCCACACTGCTGTCAGCCTGCATCCCCTAGGTGCACACTACATCCACAGGCCAGCATCTCTTGGAATTCTGTGCAGGAGTCCATACCCCCCACCTTCATCAGCTTGAGCTGAAAGCCATCACCCACCTCCCAGATATGTGGTGAGCGAGGAACTTAAGAGGCGAAAGCCTTGGACTTCCTCCAACGCCCAGGACACTCAGTCCTCTACAAGTGACGCTGATCAGGAAACTCTCCCCCCCGCAGCACCTCCTTGACTCAATCCTTCTACCACAGGTCAGGATCCCACAGCAGGGCCAGGAATGGGAGGGATTCAGAGCACCCCAGTCCAGCTGCCTCTCCCTGACTCTTGTGTTCATTCAAGCCCATGAACTGGACACCCTCACCCCGCACCCCTCCTGTGGGAGGCCTGAGATTCCTTGTGTGTCCAGAGAACAGCCTGGTCCCCAGACTCTGAGGCTCCCTCACTGTCACTCGGCAGCCCCCACCTGGTATACAGCTGTCCCCAGGGCCCCCAACCAAAAGCAGAGGGGTGTGGATTCAAGCACTTGGACTCACCAAGTGCAAGAGCAGGGTCCAGAGCAGCCAGCTCCTCAGGCCAGCCTCCAACATCCCGGGTCTGGGAAGGGTCAGCGGGGAGCAGGGCCAGGCCTCAGGGACACCAGGGACAGCCAGGGATAGCCGAAGGCTGAACGCACATTAAGGGAGCCTCTCCCCCTTGATGACAGCCCTGGCCTGACTGGGCTGGGGACCAATGAGGCTGAGCCCTGCTGGTTAATAATCCACCAGCTCTCATCCCTCTCACCCCTCAACTGCACCCCACAGGCCCCCCTGTGAGATGAGCCTCCTCGTGGAGGTGCTGGGGTCTCTGCCCACTTCCCAAAGCGACCAAAGCCAGAGGGCCGAGCCAGCTGGGGGTGACAGCTGGCTGTTAGCCCCCACTTGACCTCTGCTGGAGTTGGCGCCAGGGCCAGAAGACACAGGTGGGATCAGGCACCAGCTGGGCTCTGGCCTCGGGGGCTCAGCAAAGTCCCGGAATCTCCACGGCCTCCCTGGCTCAGCCTTAGGCCCCCACTCTGCCCCTCCCCCTCTTTGGACCAGGGCCAGTTGTGGGCTCAGACAGCACCTTCTGCACGATCATCCTTAGCAACTGTTGTTAATTAATATTAACAGCCTGATAACAGAGGGACACCGAGGGTGGAGTGACGCATTAACAAAAGTCCTCTCCTCCAGTCAGCAAAGGGAAAGAACAGCTCATTTCAGGGCGTGACAGTTGACAGAGATCCCAGATGGAGTGAGACTCTCCTTCTCTCACCTCGCTCTTCCTTCCCCCACCTCTCCTGGCTTTTCCAGCTTGTCCCTTGTTCCGGTCTGGCCCACCAGCCAACCTTAGTGGGTGACAGAGCATGGCTGGCAGCCCTGAGCTACAGCCCTGCCCCACCAAGGACCAGGGGCATGGTACACACCTTCTGCTCTCTCCTGATAGGAATTTTCAAGGTCTCCCTTGGGCTCTCACTATCACCAGGATAGGCCATGACCTTGGCCCCCATTGCCAAGGCTAGCTTCAGATAAGGGCAACCGGTTCAGAACATCTCCTGTGCGGCCATCAGCTAGAGACAGCTACAGGGAGAAACCTGCTGCTCGCTGCCTAGTTCAGCTGTCTCTTGTGTTCCAGGGACCCTGGCCTGACTCATCAGGGAACCACTCAGGCTCACACAGGGGCAGACAGAGGCTGAGGGGAAGGAGACCAAGACAGGGCCAAGCGGACCCTGAAGGCTTTAAGACAGCTGTGGTGGAGAGGAAGGGGTCAATGGTCCAAGCACTGTCCCCTATCCCCTGGCGGGCAGACCCTGAATCTCTACCACTCACGAAGCTGGTCTTTCTGCATCCTTTGTTCTGGGTGTTGTCATCTGGTTCCCCTAGAAGTAAACCCTGAAACAAGGATCCCAGTGCAAATAGTTTATTTAGAGGTGACCCCAGATGGCAGCAGTAGGTGAGTGGGGAATAAGCCAAGGAATAGAAGGAAGCCAACCAGGACGTGTTCAAGAGCTGCTCCTGCCCCTGGGGACCTCCAGGAGCTGGTGAGGACATGCCCCAGAGGATCCTCTCCAAGGAATAAGGATGTGGGCCACTTTCCTGCCACCTCCATCTACCACTGGTTGAGAACACTCGTCAAAGTTTTAGTACTAGCCTTGTGGTCAGCACACTCCATGTCAAGAGCCCCAGGCAGGGCGGTGGCTCTCATGGCAAGAAGTCACAGCTGGCACACGTGGGGGCTACAAGTACCAAGGGGAGGGGCCCAGTGCCAACCTAGCACCTGCTGCAGTGGGTGCAGGGCCCACACGCCTGTCAAGGTGAGACTCTGAAGTCCAGCTTTGCCCAGCACAGCAGCACATATAGATGGAGCTCAGATACATGATCTCTTGGGGTCTTTTCTGAAACACAAACAGCATGAGAGTTGTATAGTTCAACTCAGAATAAAAGATGAAAATGTGGGCTGGGCTCAGTGGCTCAACCTGTAATCCCAGCACTTTGGGAGGCCAAGGCGAGTGGACTGCCTGAGCCCATGGGTTCGAGACCAGCCCGCACAACTTGGCGAGACTTCGTCTCTATAATTAAAAAAAAAAAAATTAGCCAGGCATGGTAGTGCACGCCTGTAGTTCCAGCAATTTGGAAGGCTGAGGCGGAAGGATCCCCAGAGCCCAGCAGGTCGACGCTGGGTGGCCATGAGTGGGCCACTGCACTCCAGCCTGGGAGACAGTGAGACTCCAACTAAAAAAAAAAAACAAAAACAAACAAAAAAAACATTTACCCACAATCTCACCACCCACTGCCTATGTACAAGTCCCTCCAGGGCCTTGCCTCGGGGCACATATGCTAAGTTGCGATCACGTGATGTGAACACTCATGCGTTTAGATTTTTCTCTTGACTTTTAACATAATTACACACCATTGCCTTTAGTCTCTGATGAGCACGTTTGCCCCTCAATTATGATCCGCAGAAGAGATGAATCCTCTGCCCTTCTAATGCTGAATGTTGGGCTGATTTTCAATATTTCATTAGTATAAATAAGTTTCTGGTTAGCGTCTTTGTGCCTAAAGATATTTGCTTTTTTTGAATTTATTTCCTTAAAACCACTTCCTAGAGATGAGATTTGTGAGTCAGAGTACAATGTTTACGATTCTTAAGTACACAGTTCACCATTTCTTCCCTCAGGCTAATCCAGGATTTATCAGGTAATTATCAGATTCTCAGTCATTGATATCCAGTGGAGGGTTGATGCCAATCCCAGATGGTGAACACGCAATGGCTTCCTGAGGCCTATGACTCCACTGACATCGACAACACGTGAAGGTACAATCTCACCACAGTCTCACCTTCATCATGTACTTGTTGTTGGACTTTACCAATTTTGTAACTATAAGATGATACCTCAATTTAACTTTCTCTTATCACTGATATTATGAGATTGATATTAGAATAGTAAGACATGCTTGAAATGTGGCTGCTCTTAGCAGGCGCAGAGAGGAAACCAGAGCTGCCCCAAGTCATAAAGTCAGGAGGCAGTCAGGAGTGAGCCAGCCGTCAGCAAAGCAGCCCACTGTGCTCAGGTCTCGGGTGGGTGCCTGGCAGAGTCTGCCCCAGGTAAGCCATGTGTAGACAAGCCCTGGAGATATCAAGATTGCTCACTGGCTTGCTGTTCCACATCCCAACTGCATTTAGAGAGTTAGGGGGTCTAAGGGGTCTGGACTGAGAGGAAGGGTAGGCATCCTTGCTAAGCCAGTCACCCGACCTGGGCCACAGGTACCTTAACTGGGTGTGTGTACGATACTCTGACCAGTACAGATGTAAGTTGTCGAATCTCCCACTTCCTCTTCTTCTTCTTCTTCTTTTTTTTTTTTTTAGTTTTCAAAGTTTATTAGAGAAGGGAAAGAGGACAGATAGACATGCTAGAGCTGGCATGGGCAAGAGACCGGCAACATCCCCAACTTCTAACTCTTTAGTGTAACCAGCCTACTAGTGGCACCTTTGTTGCCATCATAACCTGGACTCTACTTGGCGAAGAACTGTGCCCAAAGTTGAGGTGAGAGAGGCTGCTCCCTGTTTTCCCAGCCCCCTTTGCAGTAGCAGTGGCCACGTGATCTGGTTCTGGCTCTGTGGAAGGCTTTTTCTTTCCTCATTAAAGGAGATTGTACAACTGGCATGATACCTTATCCTTGCCTGATTTTAGCTGCCCTAGACATAGATGGAATGCCGAGAGCTATGGCAGCCATGTTGTGGTCCCAAAGCATCAAACACAAGGAAAAAGTCAAGATGTATAAAACGCCACTGGGAATGACATCAGCAAAATGGTGAACTAGGAGGCTCCAAGCTCTCGTTTTCCCACAGGAACACTGGAAAGAAAACAGAACAGGCTGGGCACAGTGGCTCACTCCTATAATCCCAGTACTTTGGGAGGCCGAGGCAAGAGGATTGCCTGAGCCCACAGGTTCAAGACCAGCCTGGGAAACTTGGTGAGACCTCATCTCTACAATAAATCAACAAATTAGCCAGGCATGGTAGTGTGTGCCTGTAGTTCCAGCTATTTGGAAGGCTGACGCAGAAGGATCACCTGAGCCCAGCAGGTTGAGGCTGTGGTGACCGTGAGCGTGCCACTGCACTCCAACCTGGGCAACAGAGTGAGGCTTTGACTCAAAAAATAAAAAATAAAAATAAAAGATGCCTGGGGCAAATATTATAGATGGAGACATGCCCTAGACCATCTTAGGCACAGAGGAGAAGCTTAGGAAATTAAAACATTCAAAAGCAGCCATGTATACAAGGAATTTAGAATGCCACATGCATGTCCAGGGCAAGACACATGTGTAGAAAAACGCTGAAAATCTCTTAAACCTTCACCTCAGACTGATCCCTACACCCAGAGCAAGCCCAGCTAAGTGTTAAAGTAGGGTGGACCCAACCAATCTGCAAAGACCAGGAAAGCTGGACGAGGTAAGTTTTTTTGCTTGTTTGATTGATATTCTCTCTCTCTCTCTCTCATTGTGTGTGTGTGTGTGTGTGTGTGTGTGTGTGTGTGTGTGTGTGTGTGTGTGTGTGTGTGTTGTTTGTTTAGTCCTTGGTATTCAAGGAAATCTCTGCTAAAACACTGGTTAAACTACCAGCTAAAGAAACAGAGACTTCAGTGACCACAAACCACAATGAATAGTCTTTGCAAAAATAGCTTGGAAAAGTATCAAAACAGTCTACTACAGTATTCAGAAATTTTTAAAATGCTGGGGAAAAGAGAGAATCTGATTTCTAGACTTACCACATTATAATAGTGAAATGTTCAGTTTTCAACAGCAACAACAAAATCACGAGGCATACAAAGATTCAGGAAATGATGGCCCACTTTAAGGGGCAAAAATAAATTAACAAAAACTGTGCCTGAAAAAGTCCAACATTAGATTCACTAGGCAAAAACTTTAAAAGGACTGTCTTAAATGTGCTCAAAGAGCTAGGCTAAAGGGAAAAATGAACAAAGAACTAAAGTAAATCAGGAAAACTCTGCATGAACAAAATGAGATTACCAATAAAGAAACAGAAAAAGTTATTGAGTCAGGGTCTCACTCTGTCATTCAGGCTGGAGTGCAGTGGCATGATCACAGCTCACC